TTAGGTGTGCCGTGGGAAATTATCCAATATGTATGCCTGTGCGGTCGATTGCCTGGAAGAGTAACCATGCCGTACTCTTCCATACCGGTAGGGAGCAGCAGCAACTAGGAATTTGTCTTATGCTTCGAGACAAGCGAAATTTCCAATGCGAGGCAATACAATGAAAGGTAACTTTCATTTAGATCTACCGGAGATGCAACAGCACCAATGTTCTCTCTCAGCGCACTGGTCGCACACACTCACTCTCTCTCTCTGTCTCTCTCTCTGTCTCTCTCTCACCCCTCTTTCTCGCACTCTCTCACTCTTTCTGTCTCTGCCCACCGCGCACGAAGCAAATAAAAGAGACAGTATGCCAAAGAATCAAGAGCATGATGTGACACACACAAGACTTCCCAAGTTTCTCGTCACGCTGGGCGGGGCTGCAAAGATACGCAGCCAATCAGCTCACAGGATAAATCCACCCGTGCTGTCATTGGTCGACATCGCACCCGAAACCAATCATGCGCCTTGAGGCAGTGCCCGTTGCCGAATAGTACAGGCATGCACAAAACCTCTGAATTGTTCTGCATTTTTTTTCTGAATGCAGTACTTTGGAAAAAAATTTAAAATGTGACGTACGGAAGCCGCGATAAATGAAGCGCGAAATAGCGAGGGATCAATGTATTGTAATTGCTTTTTTTCGCGGTCCAGAAACACCCCACGTAAGGTGTAAATCACGCAGTAGAATTTTCGCTCCGGACTTATCCACCACTCAAAAATGCGCAGTGTCGCGCTCTGTGCAAGTCTTTTTCACAAATACCCAATGATAAAAAAAAATAATAATAAAAATGAATAAACCAGCATCATGGATAAAAATAATAAAAGAAAGAAAAATTCACCACTAATATGTGATGCTGGTCATGTCACATTTTTGAGTTGTAATCTGAACGAATCTTGCTCTCTGAGTAACCTTCATTGTAATTATAAATCAAATTCAGTGGGTGTTTTTGTCTTGTGTCTTGCAGATATTAGCAAAGATGCTTGTCCTGAGTGGCTGGATGCAGACTCCTTTCACATTAAAGAGGAAGAGGTGAACAAAGAGATAGAACAGCAGGTCCTATCCATTAAAAGAGAGGAGGAGCCAAATTACCCTTCCACGAAAGATGGTGATAACAAAACATCAAATTTTCGTGATGATGAGGATGAAGAGTCTGATGGTGATCTGACATGTCACACTGACAACAAACCCTGGAAATGTTCTCAGTGTGGGAAGATGTTGACTCATCAGAATGCTTTGAAAAGACATGTGAGAATCCACACTGGTGAGAAGCCTTTT